TATATTAAAAGATGCCATATATTCTGAAGAAGCAGAAAAAACTAAAAACATTATTTTCACAGAAAGCGATGAAGAAATTATTGATATAGAAGAATTTAAATCAGAAGCTGACATGGAAAATTTAGTAATTTATTTTAGTAATTTCAAAACTTTTGATTTCATTTTTAGGGATTAACATCATTTTTGTTATCTATTATTTATTTGTTGTTTTTTTTTCACACCAATACTGTTAAACAAATAATGAAATTTTAAACATTAGATTTAGCAAAAAATTAATTCAAGGTGTAAATATAAAATGTTTAATTTCTTTATTAAAAATTTTTTAATATATTTGATATATAGTTTGGAGTTATAAACTTGCTTTAGATTAATTTAATAAAATAAATTAGTTTTAACTTTTTTTTTGTTTTACTAATTATATAGCCTGCCAAAAATCAGCACAACATTTTAATATGTTATTTCCTGTTTGTTTTTTTAATCTTTTTATTATTTTTATATATGTATAGGAATTTGTTGTTTTATTTATTTTTTTTAAATTGTTGAAGTTTTTAATGCTACAATACTGTAGTGATGGAGTAGTTACTACTCAAATAAACAAGATTCTAGTTTTATTCGAGTTGGCCTATAAAACCTTAAAACAACTTTTCTTACACCAAAGCACCTAAGTAATACTGTGCTTAACTTTTTTCTTTACAATGCAACTGGATCATAATAAATCATTTCCATATGTCATTTGCTTAAAAAAAGTTATTTAAATTGGTTTGATATACTGTAATTCTATATGTAAATTTTTAAATTATAAGTGTCTTGTGTCTATACAGACAGCAATTTTCCAAGATTTTATTAATCTTATTTTATTTATTTTATGGTGTTGCTTTGTTCTAAATTAACATACTTCCTAAAACCATTTAAATTCTTGGTGAACTGATTTCAATAATTGCACAGTCCTATACCCTGATTGTTTATGCAGAATTTTTAAAGATTAATACTTTTATATGTACAGTTAAAAGTTATCAGTTGTTTTTCTAAATATATACTTACCAAACTTTTCTCTTTAATTACAAAAAAGTTTTCTACATTCTAGTCTTCTATATGAACTTTAAAAATAATATTCAATTTGATATTTCTGAAATTTTTTAAAAATATTTCGATATTTTTTATAATAGTTATAATAGTCTACCAAAAACATCTTTGAACAATATTGTTTAAGTGTTGTTCTTAGATGTCTTTCAAAAACAATATTGTTAAAGTGTTGTTCTTAGATGTCTTTTATATATTTTCCCCCAAGTATATTATGCTAATGCAGGTAAATTACAAACCAATCTGGGTTTTTTAAGATCATGCAAGATATATCATTTTTGCTTTATCTCCAACATCCTATTTAGATTGAATCAACTATTTTGCCTTTTTGTAAAATCTGTTTTATATTGTGAATTTTGATATTTTACCAGGTGTAAATGTTGAGCATGTGACATGCTTGATATACACTTACATATCAGTTCCAATTTTGTGTGAAATTAAATACTTAAACTATTCTTTTACGTATTTTTGTTTAGTACCTCCTAGCTTGTGCTCAGTTCCTCCTTGTACTTCTTTGGTTGGTTCAACGCTATGATCTCACTTTTAAAAAAATTAAAAAAAAAATTAAAAAGTGATATGTAAGTGTATATCAAGCATGTCACATGCTCAACATTTATACCTGGTAAAATTTTACATCTTTATCAAACTTTAAAAAGTTTGATAAAGAAGTATAAAACCTTTATTTTATACTTCTTTATCAAACTCACCCTGTCATCGTACTTTTTACTATTAACTTAAGGATATTAAGAAAAGCTGAAAATTGTGCCTCTAAAGAAATCTTTTAGTTTCAGACAGATGCAGAAGCTTTTATTTCTTTGCATTGGTTTCTAATTGAACCTCAGTGGATCTATTCATTGCATACAAATTGAGTCTTTTTCTACTCATTGGTTTCTATTAATTATAATCGTCTTATCAAGCCCAACTTTCTTGAGAACAAACTTTTTTTTTATCGTTGCAAGAAGTTAATGCAATAAAGTATTATTTGATAATGAGATTCATTATTTTCAACAATAAGATTTGGTAATACACTTGTTAAATATTGTGGAGAGTGATAAATAGAATAATGGGTTTAAAGTGAGAAATAACTTAGGCAACAGAAGCTAGATTTAGTTGGATATCTAAGCACGAGTAAACCTGTTTCTCTGGGATGTCAGGAATGTTATGGTTATTAGATTCAAGAAATGAATTAGTGAAAAAGTTCTTTGCAAATTAGTATTTTCTTATCATTTTGGAGAAGTAATAAAATCAGACTCTTGTATGAGAAAATATTATCTTTATCTAAATATTATAGAAAATATAAATGACACAAACGAGTTATTACTATTAAATTTTTATTAATAAATTATTACTATTAAAGAAGTTTTAAAAACTTCTGTGGTAAATAAATGATTTAGTAACCGGAAAATATTTATGTTATCTTCTGGTTCTAAAAGCTAGCCCAGACATGTTCCAAAAACAAACATATTTTATATGTGTATATTAGTCTATATATTGTATTATATATATATATATATATATATATATATATATATATATATATATATATATATATTATATATATATATATATATATATATATATGGCTTGATTTTCTAATGGAGAACAAGGAGGAACTGGCAATAAAGCAGCAAAGTAATTAATTTGAGTTGTCTGGAAAACAAGTCACATAATTAAATCACCATCCCAACTTATTTTTACAATATTTAAGGTGTAACTTCTGTACACACTCTGTCCAATTTTTTTTAAACTTTATATACAATGCTCTATGGGGAACTTTTTTCTTTCCTGTAAAAACTTCCATTAAGTGAGATACATGCACCTCATAACCCCTGGTGACAATAATTTGGCACAATCTTTGAGATGCTAAAACGTATTGAATTTTTAGTTATCTAGTCTTTTTTTAGTTGTTTTGTTTATAAAGTGTTAGTTATCTTTTACTGAAAGTTTTTTTTACTTTAATAATATATTAATATATTTTTTTACTTTAATAATAATATTAATAAAAAAGTCCAAAAATGATTTTTTAATTAATTAATAAAAAGTCCAAAAATGAAGCCAACTACATTAATTGAACAAGTGTGCAGCTATTGTAATTTGCATCCTAATGCTAAAACGAAGAGCATCATAGAGTATTTTGTTGCCTCTAATCACCCCAAAAGAACCATCAAACGTTATATGGCAAAGTGTAAGAACAATGAGCCAAAGTCTTGTAGGAACATCAATCACCTGAAAGGTCTTTTGAATAACAGGTCTGAAACTTCAACAAGAAAAATTGCAAATAAATTCAAGTTTGATCATCTTTACATTGTAAAAACATTTAAAAAAGCAACAAACATGTTATTTTAGAAAAAAACAAATCCCTGATCACACTGATAAACATTTAAACCAGTTGCAACTAAAGTGTGGAATAATTTGTCGCAAGTTCAGAAACCATGACTTTGTCATTGACACGAGTCTTATTTTGCATTTAAACATACAAATAAAAATTTTAATTCTGGATTTTACTCAGATGAAGCAAAAAAGCACCAAAAAATGTAAAATATAAGTGCAAAAGCAAATTAAAAAAAAAAATTCTTGTGTGGATTGCTATATCCCCTTGTGGAATCTTAAAATCATTTATTGTTCCTGCAAGACTGGCAATTAACCAGGCAGTGTTCAAAAATGATTGCATCATCAAACAATTGATTTCTTTTATCAACAATCATATTTTATCAACAGTTGATTAACACACTCGAAGTATTCTAATAATTTTATTAGCTCTATTGCCTGGCATGCTCCAAGCTATATATTGTCCCAATCTGGGCCAACACTCACAGCCAATCTGTTATAAACATTGGATATTTTAAGATCTTCTGAAATTTCTTTAACTAGTTTAGTGTCAAAATGTAGAAGTAGTCTTTTACCTCTTAGTAAATCTTAATAAATTATTTGTTTTTTCCCCTATTGACTGAATTACCTTAAAAACCGTTTTCTGTGAACAGAAGACCTAGAGATGTTTAATTCTGACTGCAATAATGACAGACATAACTGCAGTCTGAGGTCGTATATTAATATTATTTCTTGCTGCCTCAATTGATTTTGCTTCAATAAGCTCATCAGGAGTAAGCTCTATGATTATTTTAGCCATTTTCTTTAATCTAAAATCCATCTAAATTTTTACTAAATTTTTACTAAATTTTGATATGTAGTATATCATTATGTTGTAAAAACTTAGATATCCTTGAACTCTATGAATTTTTTTTTTATTTTTCTATAGTTAGAAATCTGAGCCTCCCCTTTTTAATACTAGCTCTGTAAGCTGCATCATCTTTTTCCTCAATGTTCATTTTCCTTTCCTTCATTTGGTCTTTAAAGAATTCTAGATTATTTCCAACTACTTCCAGATCATTATTATGTTGCTCTTATTTTCTACTCAAAATCCATTTTATATTTTATATTTAAATCCAATTGATATTGTGAACACTTCTGCATTTTTGAGTTTAAAATATTTAACAAGTTATATTCTATTACATTGTTATTTAACAAGTTACATTCTATTACAAAAATTTATAAACATTGTTAAGCTTATCTAGTCAATCTTTCTGTGTGATTTTAATAACAATGCTTTTTTCATAACAATTATTACAAAAACACGAAAGTAATAAAAATAGGAAAAAAAATTTATATCCAAACTTTTAAAATATACATCTTGCTATTGTCAACTAGATGAATCATAACATATGGGTATTTTCTTTTTTTACAGACCAAATCCAAAATATTTGAGAGTATAGTCTTTTTTTGTTTTGCTTTGTTTTGTTTTTCGGACACCCTATTAGTTATATGTATACTGCATCCACTATTGTCAACAAGACAATAGTTTGATGCAGTATACATATACCCAAGTATTTTTATTTATTAAATAACATTATACAACACTTAAATACATCTAGACATGAAAACTAATTTCAGACTTAATATTTTCAAGTTGAATGTATTGTTTGAACTTATTAAAACTCAAGAAATCTATTTATTGGCCTTCCTATTATTCTACTATAAATTTTTTGTATTCTTTAAAATGATTTTAAAGATCATTTCTTGTCATTGTTTTAATCTTTTTTTGAAGCTTTGTTCAGAACTCTATAAGCTTAGAATTTGTTTTTGTTTTTTAAAAACTAATGGTTTCATATTAACGTCATAAAAAACTACATATTTTATGTTTCAAATATTTTCGAGTATTTTTTAATATTTTTCATATTGACTTTAAATTTTTTTTTTATATTTTGATGTTGTTCTTGATAAAATTTGAATTTCATTAAGCACTTAAAAATAGCGCAAGCAATTTTTAATCATGATATTTTCAAAAAAGGTTAAAATCAATAAAAGTTACTTAACTGTAATTTAAAAGTTTTCATAAAATACTAGATAAATGTAATAAGGTATATTATATAGTCACTCATTAAAATAATGATTAAATATTTGCTCAAATCAACTGCAAATCCTACTCTAAAATCTTTTAGAGTAGGATTTGCACACACAGATATATATATATATATATATATATATATATATATATATATATATATATATATATATATATATATATATATATATATATATATGTATATATATATATATGTATATATACATATATGTATATATACAGGGTGTTAACAAGGAATAAATTTGATACAACGTTTTAACGGAATTGGGAATTTGTCGAAGTATTTCTCAATCACCCCCTCCTCCCCTGAGATTAAAATATGTTCTGGGAAAGCATGGGGTCCTTTTTTGGTGTTCTTTTTTTTTCTACTCTACTTCAGCGCTGCATACATTGATTGATCAGCGCCAAAAATATAATAAAATAGGATCTGTATCATATGAAATTAACTCAGAATTAGCTGCTGTTTCACGACACGAACCAATTTCCGAACATATATTAGGAAAAATATCCTTTTTTTATTATAAACTAATCAGTGTATATTAATTATTATTGAGAATAATTATTTTGATTTATTTTTAATCTTCATATATTGTCGCTGCTTTCATTTCAAGAGTATTGTTTTAAATATATATTTATTTTCAATGTAATATAGTAAAATAGTGATCTCCAATGAGCCAATGATCTTCTACTTCTATTTATTGTTTAAATTCTGCTCGGTGTACCTTACGAACGAACCCTTACATCATTATGTAATAAATTGTGTTATCAAGAGAAATTTTTTGAAAATAGATAAGGTTTTAAAAATAGTAAACACAAGCTCATAATTTTCATATTTCACATTTTTTTATTCATAAATTACATAGCGAAATAAAGTTATAATCACAAAGTCGTTTAATTATAGAGTAATATTATTAGCAAGCGATTGCACGCGTGGCATCGAAGAATACATTAAAAAAGTAAAAAACTTTAGCAAATTCAGTTGATTTAAAATACCAAACAAAAAAAAGAAAAACAATAACTAAAAGATTTTCCGTAATACCTGTAGTTGATCAAAAGGTATCTGACATAACCTTCTCGATGTTTTTGTTGACGAATTACATGTACTACTTAAAGTTAAGTTTACGGTAAGACTAAATAAGTTATTAAACTTTCTAGCCAAAAAGCGCAAAACTTTTAAAGAAATAGGATTTGCGGGTGTTAAACCAAACAAATTTGTTATTATTTTGGATCTTTTAGATCTAATTAGTACTAATGTACTTTAGTTCTTGCTAACTTTTTTATATAATATTTGCTGTTGTTGGAATGCATCACAAAAAACTATTTTCAAATTTTATTGCAAGTTGCTACAAAAATCGCTCCAAAAATTTCAATTCTCATGATGTTTTTTCCAAGAAACCAATTTTCGCAGTTATGCAATTGCGTTTTTATATCAATAATGGCAATTTGATTTTATGTTTTACGCAATTAATGAATTAGAATTTTTTTTGTTATTTTTCTATTAGTTTTGAATAATAATTAATTTTAAATTATTTTTAGAATTAATATTAAACTTTAATTTTGAAAACTTTTTTTGGAGAATGGGATTTTTTCATCTTTAAGTTAGGAATTTTAATTTTATGAGCATTTGGGAAAACCGCGTTTGACGGGGCGCCACAGGGCTAGTTTACATATATATATATATATATTTATATTTATATATATATATATATATATATATATATGTATATATATATATATATATATATATATATTAATATTTATCTATATCTATATATATATATATATATATATATATATATATATATATATATATATATATATATATATATATATATATTGTATTGAAACATTAGTTTTTTAAGAATCCTAAAAAACATTATGTTTAATGTTTTATTTTGTTTATTTGTTGTGTTATTATTATTATATGGTTTTTTTTATATTTTATTTTTAATATTATTTTTTCAATATTGTTAAATAGTTTTATTAATAAAACCTAGAAACCATGTTCTTCACTTGCTACTTGGGTGCAGTGTGATCAAGAACATTGTCAAAAATGGCGACTCATTGAAAATGAGCCTCTTCCTGAGGAAAGCCATAAATGGGAGTGTTGTATGAGCAAAAGTAAATATTCGAGTTTTATTTTTTACAATATGTAAGTTTTATTAATTATTTAAAAAAGCTGCTAGTTATTATTATATATTTTTTTTGTACTTTTGTATTTTAGATTCTTGTAGAAATAAATGTGAATTTTCACAGGAAACAATGCCGAGTGATAATGAAGAAACGCTACATACATCATTTTTACCTGGAGATCTTGTTCTTGGTAAAATGCCAGGATATCCTTGGTAATAATTATTGTAGTAATAAATTTATTTTAGTTTTTTTAATATAAATATTTTTAAACTATAATCAGCGATAAAAAATAGTTTACATACAGTTCGATAGTAAGATATAAAATTTGTCGAGTTGTATATCTTATTGTACTCCAGTTGTAAAATATTATATATAAAGTAAAACTTTAATGGTTATACAAAAAAGGATTTCTGATATAAAAAAAGCTGATTTTAAAATGTTTTGAGGAAGTTGCGTACTGGTTGTTTAATATCCCACCATTCATCTCACTGCACTTTTATCAAACTTTGATAAAAATATTTTTATTAAAAATATTTTTTGGGGCCTCTCAGATGCCTCAAGAAATTTTTCCTTCATAATAAAAATAGTTAACTAACTCACCATACCCCGGAATAAATTAGAGCAAACTATAAAAATAAATGTCAATGTATTATTAACTGCAAACTTTATAAAAAAATTCTTTTTAATTTATTTTGGCAACAATTTTAAGTTAAAAATTTAATATTATTTTAATCTGGTAGCAAATAGTAGTTCGTATAAGCCAAAACAGTAGCCCACTTTTTTTCTAAGTAAAAAAGTCCCCTGAAAATTTTTTTTTTAATTTTTTTTTATAAAAGATAAACATTCTCAAAATTAGTTAATACTATGAGCTTGCGAACAACTTACCCCGTGAAAAATTCGCTAACTTATCTTTTAAGACTTACAAAAGTTTGTTTTTCAAGAGATAACCTATAGATCCTGAATAACGGGAACTATTGAAAAGTTCAGACTGAAAATAAAATAGAAAATTTTGACTGGAATCTGTACAATATATTTTGTTCAAAAAAGTTCATAAATCCCAATATCTCTTATGCTTATGCAGAAATCCTTCAATCTTCAGTGAAAAATTAAATGATCAATAAGGAATATTCCGTGTAATTTCTAGCACTTTTTGATAAATGGTTCTTAATATAAACGCAATTTGTCAACTTTTCCTTACTGCCAACTGTCCCTGCTATCCCCTATATATTTATTTAGTATACAATTTTTATAAATTTGCATGTTTCCAATATATATTTTAAAACATTTTTGTTGTTATAAGTTAATTATATTTTGGTTCTAAAATACATATAAGAATATTTATATTTAAAATGGTCTCGACTGTTTTTGAGGTGGCCTGGTATTATTGAAGATGATCCTGATTTTGAAAGTTTCTTTGATTGTCAGATAAGAGGAGATAAAGAAGTTGTAAGCAATGCATAGATTTTTTATATTTTATAAATTATAGCGAATATTATTATCTATTAACCATTATTTAATTAATTGCATTAAATTAATTACGTTAGTTTAAAAATTTTAAAGCTTTTAAATTATGCATTGATTTATAATAGATTAGCTTTCATGTAACTTTTTTTGGTAAAGAAGCATCAAGAGCATGGTTGCAAAAAACCTCGATTGCAAATTTTGACGGACATGAAAAATTAGAGGATTTAGGTCCTGTATGTATATTTGATGTTATATATTTAAGTTTATACGTGTTTGCATATTTTGAATATTAAGAATAGTAAATATAAATAACGGTAAAAGTATTATTTCAATACTTAATTATATTTAATTTTATCTTTTAGCTGTCTTATCAAGGCAAAAGTTTTCGTAAAAAGGTTCTTGAAGCCTTAAAGGAAGCAACCAAGGCTCTTGATATGACTAACGAGGTATTATTTTTATATTTTGAGGTTTATAGTTTAAAAATATAGAAGTTTCTATAGAAACAGTAGTAAATATTGTGTGTTCGATTTACTAGAAAAGACTTCGAAAATACGCTTTTATGACAAGACATAAAGAAGGAAATGCAAAAAGTGAGAAAGTTAGAAAAAATAGCAGTTTTTGTGAAAGATAATAATGAGTATAGATAGTGTAGTTGAAACTGTTTTTTCACATAAGCAAAAAGTTTCATTTACAAGATATAACAAGTTTAACTTGCAAAGATATATCTGAATATTGTTGTCATTAGATTTTATGTTGTAGTTATCTTTTGACTATAACTTGTGTTTACATTTGCTGTTTTTTAGTTCAGTTTTTTTTTTTCAGTTCGATCTAAATCTAAAGAAAAAAAAGAAAGCATAACAATTAAAGAAAAAAAAGAAAGTATAACAGTTAAAGTGGTGAAAGAAAAAAAAGAAAGTATACCAATTCAAGAGGTTCAGAAAAAAAAAGGTTTAAATATTCATAAGGTTAAATTAGATGTTGCCAATGCCAAAAATTTATATTCTGAAGAAATACAGAAAAATTGTTACAATAGTAATGATGGTCAAGTTAATAAGTTAAAAGATAATCCTAAAAAAATACATTTTAATGATACAATAATTTCTTCAGATAATAGTGAGAAATTAACACCGAGTCAGGAACACGCAGAAAAAATGATAGAAAAATATGTTACTGCTGAAATGTTAGTTGCATTTAAGTCCAATTATAACAACGAAAGTATTAACGTTTCGGAAAAAAAAAAAGCTCCGTTTAAATCTAAGAAAAGAAAAAACCAGATTAATGAATCGGTTATCTGTAATGAATCCGATGTTAGTAAAAAATTAAAAATTACAAAAAATTGCGTGGTGAAAAAAATATCTAGTAAAAAAAAATTAAATGAACAAAATCTGGATTGCTTAACCGGTTCAGCTGTTACCCAAGTTCTTAACGATGAAAAAGCCTTTATTGTTCAAAATGATGTTTCTGTCACTAATTCAAAAAAGAGAAAGAAAAAAGAAAAGCAGATCATCAATACTGCTAATCAAATAAAATTAAAAAAAACTGTTGGAGAAAAAAGGAAAAAAGTTGAAACTCAAAATTTATCGGAAAAAAAAAATTGTGGTAATATGGAATCAAAAATAGAACAAAAACCCATTACAGACGTCAAGAAAAGTTCAAAAGTCTCGTGTAAAGCAAAAGTTGAAACATTTCAGAATGTTAAGAAATTCAAGATTGTTAAGAAACTAGATGAATCCGAGCTAATTAAGGAAAGTAATGAACTTGTTATTGACAGAAAACATTCTGACGAAATTGAAAAACCAATTACAGAAGCTTGTATTGCTAAAGTACCTCCTACCATTGAAATAAATGTAAAACCTTTACTAGATGATCAAGATATGCCAAATAATAAAAGTTTAGATTCTTGTGGTGAAAATTCATTTATCAAAGAAGTATCGAAATCGGATCCACATAAAAAGAAAATATTGGACACAGAAAAAATACCAAGAATTCAAAATATACCAGCGATTAATTCTGATAACGATTTCAAGAATGAAACTCGCATTACCAGTCCGACTAACAATAAAATCGGCCATAAATCGACACAAATCGTTTCGTGTCAGTTAAAACCTACCTTTATAAAAAAAGGAATTCCCTCTAAAAAATCTGTTTTTAAAGCACCTGTCAAAAGTGAAGTTGCTAATTTAACGCCTTCAAATAATGTATCAATAACATCTTTTAAAACAAAGCCATTGAGTTGTTCTTCAAACGTTGCATCTGAAATTTTACAACGTGTCGCGGAAAATGAATCAAGTTCTTTAGTGTTAAATAAAGAAGATGAAGGTTGTAGTTTTTTTAATGTTAATTCTAAAGGTTTATATATCAGTGAAAAAAATTTTATTTGCTTTAATATTCTTATATTTTTATTTAAAGGTGACGTTGATATCGGATTAGAAATGAATCTATCCTTACAATTGGATGACGTATCGTCAGTTTTACCAAGTAGCTCTCCAGAGTTCTAAGAACGTTTATAAGGATTTGTCAAGTTTTTTTAAATGAATTATTTTCTAAATTTATAGTTCTTGATGTTTATAATTTACATTATTATTATTTATCACGTGAGTTTTCATATTGGTTTGGAATAAATATTTGAATATTTGTTAACTTTTTTAAATGTTATTAGGTGTTATTTATTAGATAGTTAATGTACAATGCGCAATATAAATCGCTGTGTATAAATTTTGTGAACTAAAGTTCGTTAGATGCGTAAACTTCATTTAATTTTTAAGGTTTAGTTTACTAAGACCTAGGCGAAAATTTAGGCGGAAAAAAAAATTTACTTTTGGAAAGAAAATTTTATTTTTATTTATTGTGTTGATTTTGATATGCACTAATATGCTTTGGAACTTTAATTACTGAAACAGACCTGCAACACTAATAGTAAGTTTAAATTCGGATATAAAAAAATATATATAAACAGTCAAGGTCAAAAAAAAAACGGCCAAGAATTTTTTTTTTCATAAACTCTTGTAAATTAAATGATTTTATTAAGGTATCGATATATAAAAATCATCCTTACACAAGTATCATTAAATATATATATATATATATATATATATATATATATATATATATATATATATATATATATATATATATATATATATATATATATATATATATATATATATATATTAAATAAGAAAAAAAACCTCAAAGTTGTTTATTGAAGAAAATCAACGCCAAAGCATTAAAAAGCACGTTTTACAATGTAATGTTGCTATAACAAAAGGTGTTACCAAACATATAGTACAAAATAATTGTTGGCAGAGTTGTTTTATTGTATTATTATTTTGATCGAGTCATTTTCTTCTGAACACACTCTCTTTAATTAGTACTTTGTCAAGCACCTTTTTGCAGCAAGGACTGCTTTAATTCTCCTAGGCATACTATCATTAAGCCTTGTTAATAACAATGGGTCTAAGCTATTCCATGTCTCTTGAACGCAGTTGAAAAGACTAGTTTCATCATTGCATGTTGTTTTTTTTCTAATCAGGGTTAGGGTTATTTTATCTTTAAGTATTGACCATAGGTTTTCAATTGGATTTAGGTCGAGTGATTAACTAGGCCACCAGTCCACTGTAAGCGTGTTTTTTTTGAACATTTGCTTTATTACGTTTTGCTGTGTGTTTAGAATCATTATCTTGTTGATACAGATAGTTATTATCTGGAAATAATTCCATACAGCTTGCCTTTGCATGATAAACAAGGATCCCATGGTACTGGTATTTTTTTTTTTTTTTTTACAACACAAGTATCCGTATATATTTCAATAAAACAAAATTACATATTTTTACATATAAGTACAAAACGTACAATTAAACAATTTTTGTACCATTAAAATTTTTACAAGACAAAAGAAATTCAAAATTCTGTTCAGCGCATGCGTGTTGTACAGTGTGCAAAATAAGGTAACTATTCGTTGTTTATAATATAAAATGCTGGCTATTAACCCATGCATTTAAAAAATATATGCAAGTCCGTCGTACCACAGGGCTACTTGGGACTTGCTTGTGGACGTTGTTGAATATATATATATAAAATTATTCTTAAAAAATATTTCTCTTTGTTGTAAGGAAACTCGCAGAAGACTAAAATAGTCTTTTCATCGAGAACCTTTAAAACATAAGATAAACTTTAATGAACTAGTTCAACAAATACACATAAGTATTTTGGTATCTACTATATAGTAGAAGTATTAGGGCTTTTTATTATTACTATTTTTCCCAAATCGTTTAATACATTTCGATGAAATTGGTTAAGTTAATTATGATATGTTTTAGTTTTTTTTTCAGAGCAATAAGGTTATCCATTTTATTAAGTTCCATATTTTGAAGTATTATTTTGTTATGTAAGTATGGGCCACGGTATATTAAAGAAAATCGTGAGAATTTTGTTTTTTTTAAAGGCACGGTGAAGTTGCCTGTTCCTCGTGTGATATATTTGTTTGCGTTGATATGAAAAAAGCTATCAGTAAAGTATTTCGGAACAAGTCCGAGTTTGTATTTTAGCATGAATAAGATATTTTGGTAAATATTTATTTGATAGATATTTAATGCATTCAAATTTTTAAGTAAAGGGTCGGCATGAGTGAGTTTATCTTTATAATAAATTAATCTTGATGTATGTTTCTGATGTATGTAGAGTGAATTTAATTTAGTTTTATGGGTACTTCCCCATGCAATATTAGCGTATGTTAGGTAACTTTGAATATAAGAAAAGAAGAGAATTTTTAATTTGTCTTGGGAAAGCATAGGTTTGGCTTTGTAGAGTACGCCGATACTTTTTGATATTTTCGTGTTTATTGTATTAATATGGGCTTTCCAATTAATATTCTGGTCAATAATTATTCCAAGAAACTTAGTTCTTTCGATGTTTATGTTATCAATTTTTAGTGAAGGTAGAGTGCCTGGTATAAAGTTTTTAAGACGGTTGGAGTGAAACAAGATATATTTTGTTTTTTCTGTATTCAAAGATAATTTATTTACTTTAAACCAGATGTTGAGGTTTTCGAGGTCAGTGTTCATAGATTCGTAAAGGTCGCTTATAGACGGCGATGAGTAAAATAAATTTGTATCATCAGCGAACATTATTACATCAAGTTTTTTTAGGGCTTTTGGAAGATCGTTGATATATATTAGAAATAAAAGGGGACCCAGAATGGAACCTTGGGGAACTCCGCACTTTATTTCTAGTAGGTCTGAAAATTTATTATGATCTGTAACAACGCATTGTTTTCTGCTACTCAGGTAACTTTTGAACCAGTCAAGGGATATATTTTTAACACCATATCTTTCCATTTTTTTAAGTAAGATATTGTGATTAACTGTGTCGAACGCTTTAGATAAATCTATAAAAGTCCCTAATACAAGTTGCTTTTTATCGAAAGAATTACTCATGCTATTTACAAGATCTAAAATAGCATGTTCGGATGAGTGTTTTGTTTGAAACCCGAATTGTTTTTTGTTTAAGAGGTTATTTTGAAGAAAATATTCGTATAATCTATTGTAAACTATTCTTTCAAGTATTTTAGAGAAATTAGGCAGTATAGAGATCGGTCTGTAATTATTTAATAAAGATGTTTCGCCTGTTTTAAAAATTGGCATAATTTTAGCTGTTTTCAATTTATCTGGTACAGTACCTGTTTTAATTGATGAATTAAATATTTCGAAGATCGGTTTGCGTATCTCCAAAAAGACATCGATAACGATATTCCTACAAATATCATCTATACCTGGAGATTTATTTATTTTAAGAGATTTTATCGCAACTTCAAGTTCTTCAATTTTTAGTTCGCTATATGCTAATTCGTTGTTGTTATTAGTTAAGTATGTCTCAAATGAGTTGTTTGGACAATTAATTTTTGTAGCCAGGTTAGGGCCTATGTTAACGAAAAAATTGTTAAACTTTTCTGAGATTACGTCACTACTGACATACTCTTCATTATTTATAACAACTTTAGTAGGTAAATTATTTTGTTTGCAATTTTTGTTTCCAATTATTTCTTTAATTACATCCCACGTTTTTTTAATATCACCTTTGGAGTTTTTTATTTTATTTGAGTAATAATTCTTTTTTGAAATCTTTTTGATTTTTTCAAACAAATTTTTATATTGTTTGTAAGCATTTAGGTTTGCTTCATTTCTATTTTTTAAGTATTTGATATAAAGTTTTTGTTTTTTTTTTTGAAGATTTTTTAATTCCTTTGGTGATCCACGGACATTTTAGATGTTTTTCTTTTACTAGCATTACTTTTATTGGGAAATATTTATTATAGTTTTTTAAGAAAATGTTTTCAAAATTAGTATAAGCAGAGTTGGTGCGTCCAAGGTTACATTCTTGGTATACTTTATCCCAGTTTATTGCCGATAGTGATTCTTTAAATTATTGAATAGTATATTTGTTAATTTTCCTTTTATGAATTTCGATTTTACAGTCGTTAGTAGTTTTTGTATCGTGTGACAGAGAAAAGAAAATCGGAAAATAATCCGATATATCTGTTTTTATAATACCTGCTTTTAAAGTAACATCAAGAACTGTATTTGTTAATATATTGACTATTGACGTTACTGATGATTGAGTTACCCGAGTCGGCTTATTAATAATTGGGAAGATGTAATGTTGGAGCATTTCGTCAAAAAAAAATTTAGTTTTGGCATGTTTATCGTATTGTAAGCAATCAATGTTAATGTCTCCAATACAAAATAGTTTTTTTTGTTCATTGTTATTTTTATAAAAAATTTGTTTTAAATGATTAGAAAATTTTGTTATATCACCATCAGGTTTGAAATAAAATTCAAATTAAACGATTGTTGGTTGTATTTTTAAAGCTTGATGAGCTGGTCGAATTGCAACTTTTTTTGGAATTAAGTGTTTGGCATTTAGAGATATTTTCTAAACGATTCAAAAATGCATTCCAGAAAATTTAATTAGATTAAAACAGTTCCTTCATTTACGATTTTAGCTTTGAAGAAGTGTTCAAAGCAGGGGCGGATCCAGCATTTTTTGGTTTTTGAGATAGCTAACTTCCAGACATGGAGCAAACTCCAAACATTTATATGTTTATACTTATGTCAAATAAGGATGCTTTGCGAAAATTGCGATGATTGGAGCCTGGGAACAAAAAAACCCAAAATTTTCGCCCTACCCCCAGCACCAAACGTGGGAGCAACAAGTTGATAAAATGTTTTATGTACTATTCTTAACTAAATTTATATTCATCGATAAATTTCATAGCATAATCTCACAGCGTTCATTAATTATGACCATATAAAATTTAAAACCTCCTCAAATTGAGGGGGGTTCAAACTTTACACGGTTATAATTTTTGAACGCTGAAATATTTTATAATGAAATAAGTATAAACACATTTATGTTTGGATTTTGTTCCATGTCTGGAAGTTAGCTCAAAGATTAAAAAATGCTGGATCCGCCCTTGGTTCAAAGGCTTTTCACGCAACAATACTGCGGCGTTTCCGAATTTGTATGACAAATTCAGGACTCAGTTATTTGACATATAACAAATTTAAATGAGAGGAAAAACCGGCTCCAGAGTAATGGAAAAATAAAGAAAAACAAAATAAAATATTCGCTATTAAACTTTCAAATTAGATTTTACC